TCCAGCAGCTCCCACAGCCTTTCTCTGCAACAACCGCCCACCTTGGTCTAGTCATCCGGATTTTAGGGGATTTTGGTTGAAATCTTGTACCAAGAACAACTTTTCCCCTTCCTTTGGGGAGGAAAATTTGAATTGCGAGTTTGAGCTTTAAATTCCTATTCTACCCTTTTCCCACTCGATTTTTCCAGATTTTCCCTTCTATATATATCCCCTCATTCTTCACTGTCAAGGGAGGAAGGAGGAGAAGAATTACTGACTGAATATTAAGGAATAAGGTTTCTATTTTTTTTTCTGTCGGAATCCATCGGAGCTTTGTCGGAGCTCATCAGAATTTCGCTTGTGGTGGTGTAAAGCTTCACGGTAAAGCTCTTAGTCCCAGAACACTGCCCCAAGAAAGGTAACCTCATCTCCTGTTGTATTTTGTTCCCATGTAGTGTGTTGTATGTTCCATGCTTTTGTGTAGAATCTACTGTTACATGTATTTATTTATCTTTGTTTAGTGTTTTCGTTAGCGTTGCCCTTTTCTGCAAATTTCTGGGATGCAATATGTTTCTCGTTGATTGAAGTTTCGTCGGCATTGTGTAGATAGAGTAGTTGGCTCGATGTTGTATGTGCTTAGTCGGCCAAGTCTCTGCTTCATTTTGTTTGATTTGATCTGTGGTTCATCTGATTTAAATTCCGATGTGTTAGCCTTATAGTTTTCTTTTTTCTTATTGTTTACTAGTTGTTTTAGTTTTCCATTCTGACGTTGATTCATCGTTGTAGATCCTCACTAATGCTAGCCTAGTTTCATAGCATCTATCTATGTCCCCGCTTGACTCGAACACCATCCGTGTCCTTTTGTGTTTCAGTTCATTATGTCAAATTTGTAATTCACCTTAGTCGAGCTTTAACATGGTTCATATGCTTGAAGTTGGGTTTTTTTCTAAATATGTGTCTTGCCTTCCAATTTTTTATTTTATTTTTTTTTTGTCTTCGAAATGGGGTTGCAAAAAATCTAATCGTTGTCTTTCTTTTTTAAGTGTAGCTCTATTTTGTTTTTTTTTTTTGCTAGTCACTAGTCAAAATTTGAAATTTTATTCAAAATTGCAGTTGTTCTTCTTTTAAGTATTTACTTTCATGTTAATATGCTTCTTCATAATCTGAGACGCGTGATAGTATCGTGTGAATCTATTCTCGTGTTGGTTTAAGTTAACAGTGTGTTTTGGCATGATCTTTTCATGCTTCCTACGATTTAGCCATCATATAGGTCTGTCTGATGAGCATGAATGCTACCCGAATGCTAGTTGAAATGCTATTTGATATCATATTCGTACTTTCAATTTTATTCTCATACAGTCTTGAATTTGTGACTTGTATTAAAAATGATCAAAGATTATTGTATACATATACATTGATAATACAAGTTGATAGTGTCTGTTACACCTTTATATCATTGTAAGATCTCTTTCTCACTTGCTAGAATAAATACTAAGCATTATGTGCTGCTCGTATGAATTTTGGTATTGCTATTTGTTTTAACTCAGCTTGTCGAACACACAGATAGATTGAGCTCTTGGTTCTCGATGTGTTTAATTAGTAATATGTCTTTTATCTGTATATTATTACAGCAAAGCATAATTATTGTCCATTTCATAAGAAGACATCTTTAACTCTAGTTAGTTTCTTTTAAAAATAAAAAATCAGTAAGCATGTTAGTAAACTTAACCATATTAATTCTTCATTTGCCTACTTGCATGTTCAGTTATTAATTACTTTAAGTTTTTTGACTAACCTTGGCATAAGATCTTGTCACCTCTCTCGTCATCACTCTCCTCTACTATGTTATTTCATGCTTTGAATATTATGATCATGATTTGTTAGCTTTTATGTTTGAATTGGTGTGCATATTGTGGCTTATGTTTACGCTTTGTTAGAAATCAGTAACTACTTAAGTGTTATATGCGGTCAAGTATTTTCAGTCTAATTCTCCTCCTTTACTTTGTTTACATGTGACAATGGCCAAGTCTATTTGACTCTAATCCTTGCATTTCCGAGTTGAGCCATAAAGGCTTGATCTTTGCTTTCCCTGTTAATCAAGTCAGTCCCATTATATTCGGAAGCTGTTACAGGTTCCAGAGCTCCAACATGCTGCTGGAAATTAGTCCAGAAGCCTAAGAAATGGGCTATATACATATCGTATACATCAGTATACAGCTGTATACACTGATATACGGGTCAAAAACACAAAAACACAGAGCTAAGGAGAAATACAGGTGTTTGGAAGCAAGAGATACATGAAAAGGGCCAAGAAACGATCAATATACACCGATATACAGCTGGTGTATACCAAAAACGGGATTGAGTAAATTCCCCAGAAATTGCAGCGAAATTGGCCCAAAAAGGAGGCCCAAATTCAATTTCTCCTTTACCTAACTTATTTAATTGTGTGATTATTTATTTATTTGTTTTTTTTAAATTTGCGACTTTAATTTAATTTAAATTCCCCAAAAGATAAAACCATATTCTTTATGTTAGTTCTTTAAAATAATTCATTTTTATCAACGTCTTATGCTTATTCAAATATTTTTAGTCAAAACTTTCACTTATCTTTAATTAGATTAAAATAATTTCTTGGTTTGTCTATCAAGCTGGTTCGAATTATTATTTCTAAAAAAAATGACGTAAATAAATTTTAATTAATCTAATTTTGTTAAAATCCTAATTGACCAAGTTGTTTCAAGATTTTCTAAAAAATTAAGAATGATTCTTTATTTAACTATTTTTATCAAAGTTAATCGGATATCGTAAAATATTATATATTTTATGTTAAATCATTTTCCTAATTTTTTTTTTAAAAGATATGTTATTTAAGGGTCTTCTTCATTTAAATCACTTTTTTCACTCATTTCAAAATTGTTCTAAGTTAAAGTATTTTTTATTTATTTTATTTTATTTTATTTTTAAAAAATAAACTTTAAAAAATGTTAGTCAAAACCTTTTCAATCGATTAATAATAATAATAATAATAATAATACTTATTTAAGTCATTTTCTCAAAAAAGGTTAGTCAATTAAAAAGAAATGGTTTTCATGTTTTAATTTATTAAATTGTTTTAAAATGAATTAAATAAATTCTAATTAATCTAGTTTTATTAATATTCCAATCACTTGTATTTCGAGTTGAATGTATCATTTTAGATCCCTTTCTCTAAAAAAATAAAAATGAAATAAAATGCGTCATTTATTTAATTATTTTCTTAATCAAATATATTATAAGTT